ACAAAATTTTTAATTAACATCATACCATGTGTGTTGATGCATGATTGAGTGCAGAGCTGTTGGTAATATATTTGTGAAAGCTGAAGCAGACATTATTCTCAAATATTTTTTTTCTTACCTTACAGGGCATGTCCAGAAGACTTGCTGGCAGCATGGTAGCAATCAAGCAACGGCCCCTGTAGTAGGTGGGCATTTGCAGTGTGGGGTGGGATTGTTTTCGACTATTGATTGCTCTCTTGTATACATGCGTAAGAAGGAAGACCCTTTGGAATTCCATTATCTCTGGTGCTGCTAAAGGCGGAAATTTTGGGGCAGCTAGAAGAAAGTGTTTGAGTTTGATTCCAAACTTTTTTTATATTAATTAGGTATCCCCAGTTTGTGTGGTGTAAATATTATGCAGAAAATTCAGTGTGTGGAAATTAGGAGAAAGGTGTGGAGTTAATAAAATATTAGTCAAGACGGCTTGAAGGGGGGTTTGTTGAGGTGGTTTGGTCTTTTTAGAGAGAATGGATCAAAGTAGAATGACATGGAGAGCGTATAAATCTGTGGGGGGAAGGGAAAGGGGCGGGGTAGGGGTCGTCCTTGAAAAGGTTGGAGGGAGGGGGGAAAAGGAAGTGTTGTGGGCGAGGGGTTTGGACTTCCAGCAAGCGTGCGTGGCATGTTAGATAGGAGTGAATGGAGACAAATGGTATTTGGGACCTGACGATCTGTTGGAGTGTGAGCAGGGTAATATTTAGTGAAGGGATTCAGGGAAACCAGTTATTTTATATAACCGGACTTGTGTCCGGAAATGGAAGTACAATGCCTGCACTCTAAAGGAGGGGTTTGGGATACTGGCAGTTTGGAGAGATATGTTTGTGGTTTTTATACGTATATACTTCAAAAACTGTTGTATTCTGGCACCTCTGCAAAAACAGTGATTATTGTGGGGTGAGGTGAAAGTGTTGAATGATGATAAAAGTATTTTCTTTTTGGGGATTTTTTTTCTCTTTGGGTCACCCTGCCTCGGTGGGAGACGGCCGGCTTTTTGAAAAAAAAAATCCCCAGTTTTACATAGATGATGACAGTGAAACAAGGGCAAGGGATAAAAGAAAGAGGTTATAATAAACTTGAAATTCGGGTTTAGACACCTGGAAGAGGGTAAAGGCACCTAGGGATTGGCAAAGAGCGTGCATAGTTCCTTTGTATAAAGGCAAAGGAGGGCAATAGACAGTGCAAAAATTATAGGGAAATAAGTCTGTTGAGTATACCTGTTAAAATGTATGGTAGAGTTATTATTGAAAGACTTAAGAGTAAGACGGAGAGTAGGATAGATGAACAAGGAGGCTTAGGAAAGGTAGGGGGTGTGTAGACCAAGTGTTTACAATGAAACATATAGGTGAACAGTATTTAGATGAGAATAAAGAGGTTTTTGTGGCATTTATGGATTTGGAAAAGGCATGACAGGGTGGATAGGGGGGCAATATGGTAGATGTTGCAGGTGTATGGTATAGGAGGTAGGTTACTGAAAGCAGTGGAGAGTTTTTACGAGGATAGTGAGGCTCAGGTTAGAGTATGTAGGAGAGAGGGAGATTATTCCCAGTAAAAGTAGGCTTAGACAAGAATGTGTGATTTTCACCATAGTTGTTCAATGTATTTATAGATGGGGTTGTAAGAGGTGAATGCGAGGGTCTTGGCAAGAGGTGTGGAGTTAAAAGATAAAGTATCAAACACAAAGTGGGAGTTGTCACAGTTGCTTTTTGCTGATGACACTGTGCTTTTTGGAGATTCTGAAAAGGAGATGCAGAGGTTGGTGGATGAATTTGGTAGGGTATGTAAAAAGAAGAAAATAGTTTCTATTGAAGTTCAGTGCCCCCAAAGGGACTGTCCTGGCACCTCTGCTGTTTCTCATCCTCATAGCAGACATAGACAAAAACACCAGCACACTTTTGTATCACATTTGCAGACAACACTAAAATAAGCATGAAAGTCACTATGGTAGAGGACACTGAAAGAGTACAGGAAGACATAAACAGGGTTTTCCAGTGGGCATTGGAGAACGACATGACGTTCAATGGTGATAAGTTCCAGCTGCTTAGGTATGAAAAAAATGAAGACCTCAAAAGGAACACTATATACAAAACTCAGAGGGTCACCAAATAGAACGTAAGGAAAACGTAAAAGACCTAGGAATAATTGTCAGCGGACCTTTCTTTTAAAGGCAAAGATCACGACAGCCAGGAAGATGATGGGGTGGGTATTGGGAACTTTCAAAACAAGGGAAGTTATGCCGATGGTGACGCTCTTCAAATCACTAGTGCTCCCTCACTTAGAATATTGCTTAGTGCTGACGGTCCCGTTCAAAGCCTGTAAAGCACCTAAACTACTGGGAACGCCTGCAAGCCTTGAACATGTATTCATTGGAGCAGAGGAGAGAGAGATACATGATAATATATACAGTGGAACCTCAAATATTGAACTTTCTTCATTCCAGATGGCTGTTCGAGTGCCTTTATCGAACGAGTTTATTCCCATCAGGAATAATGTAAATTAGATTAGTTCATTTCAGACCCTCAAAAATACAGTGGAACCTCAAATTTCGAACATATCACTTATCAAACTCATTGAAAATCGAAATTCGAAGAAACTGGACAAGTATCTTCACCAGGTGCCAGATCAACCAGGTTGTGATGGATATGTGGGGCAGCGGGCCTCCAGCAGCAACAGCCTGGTCGACCAGGCAAGCACCAGACGAGCCTGGTATATCAAAGGTATACTGTTGTAATGTCACCTTTGCACCATTTATAACATTTCTGGTATATTTTTAATTGTTTATACAGTAATGTACTGTATATTAAGATAAACAGAATAGAGGAAACCAGCTCTGACATACATTATTTAGGTATAAATACTGGTCAGAGCCCGTCGTAAGTCCAAGGCATCAGTAAATGAGTATGTCGCTAAGCGAGGAGAGGCTGTACTAGTACATTGGACACAGTCCTCAGTTGCATACTAGCACATGAGACACAGTATGAAGGTTAAGGGTTAAATCAATTATAAAGGCAACTGCTCAAGAAATTTCTCCGTTAACTGCTAGTAATAATTTATCAAGTTACATACATTGATGGATCTAAGCAGGAGTCTACTGGCATTGCTGCATCTACTTTTCTTGCCACTTCCCTAGATAATAAACGATAGGAACTATGTTGAGTTAAGCATAAGACTTAATTAACAATTGGGTGTCTTCACTGCAAACTGAATTGTTTGTCATCCTAATGGCACTAAAGTTAATTATTACTGATTCTTTGTCATCACTGAAGGCTCTTGACACACACAATGAAAAACAACATACTCATTGGAGAAGTCGGATATAAATACTCAAAAATTTAGAAAAAAGGAGTTAATGTACAATAATTATGAATTTGATCATACAATAATTATGGATTTTGCTCCCTCATCATAAAGTTGATAACTTAGCCAAAATAAGTACCCTGAAGACAAATATAGAATATAAGTTGTGTGTGTCTGTGTCTAGTATTAGGATTAATATTTGGAGAGTAGTAAATTATGAAATTGAATGTTGTAGGAATGCAGTAGGTCTGTAACCCAGTATAACATGAACATGTGTATGAGTGCATTTATGGAACAACTTGCAGTGTGAACAGAATGACTGGTGTTGTAGTGGTCAGGCTTAGGATTGGTTGCAATTGCTTCTGGCAGTTTGGCAGACACACCAAAGGCAAAGTATGTGGTCAGCCCTTTGTTCACTATCTCTAACACAGTATGCTTAATTGTCCACATATTGAGGAATAAAGAGACAGTATAATAACCTATGTGATATGTCAAGACATCTTATTAATGAAAATAAGATACAAATTTTCTGAATTTGCTTGTACTAATAGATAAGCCAACTGTAGAAATAAATCCAATGTACTCCTGTTAACCCTTTTGGGGCCTAGTTTCTAGGCCTTTTGTGTATCCATATGCTCTTGTGCTACCCTCCACAGGATGGATATGGTGCAAAATAAACTAGCCACTTTAGTGGCAAACTCTAAAAAAAAAAAAATCTGAAAGGTTATTTTGGAGAGGGAGTCGATTCCCAGTGACAGTAGGATTTCGACAGGGATATGCGATGTGACAATGGTTGTTTAACATATTTATATATAAGGTTGTACAAGAAGTGAATGTATGGGTGTTGGGGAGAGGTGCGAGATTAAATGATTGATCTGCATTAAAGTGGAAGTTGTCATGTAGATCTTTGCTGATGACACAGTTATCAAAATATAAGTTACAAAGGTCAGTGGGTGACTTTGGGAGGATATGTAAAAGGAAATTAAAAGTGAACATATTATTATTATTATTATTATTATAATCAAAAAGAAGCACTAAACCACAAGGGCTATACAGCAAAAGTGAACATAGAAAAGAGCAAGGTGATGAGAGTAATAAAAAATATTGTGTTTATCCTGGAAAATAAACTTGTTTACTTCTTTTATTTCATGATTTAGTTTTGGATTTAAATTTTTTTTCAACTAAATTCATTTGTTGTATGACTTTGTTGCAAGTGTAGTAAGCTCATATTTGTGTGTGTGTGTGTGTGTGTGTGTGTGTGTGGGGGGGGCTTCATGTAGATATTGCTGTTTTGTCAATTTTTAAATACCTGTAATAATTATTATACACGGGTGGGTGTGCCTAGCATGGGCCAGTAGGCCTGCTGCAGTGCTCCCTCTTTTTTATGTTCTTAACTAAATATTGTCAAAATAATTTAAGGTTTTAAGATATGACAAAATCTGTGCTAATCATCCCATCTTAAACATTTGTATTCATTTTGGAACAAAATTTTTTGCTTGTTTTGCTTATGATTGAATTTGAGATTAAATTTATTTTTAACAAATTTATTTATTTTTTTTTATATAATCATTTGGTTTAACTTATTTTTTTGGTGAACTTTATAAAAGTAGAATTCTCAAAGTTTCAGAACAAATTGCTATATTTTACAAGTGTATACTTTTATTCTGCAGGTGGAGCAGCAGCGATGGCTGGTAGTGCAGTGATTGGTGGAATGTTACTAGCTATGATTGAAGGTGTGGGTATCCTCCTCACACGCTTCACTTCAGAGCAGTTCAAGCCTATAGCCCCAGGGGAGATGGGTGATCCATCAGTATTGGGTCCCCCTCAACCCATTACCTTAAACTCGGAGGCAAATTACCAGTGAAGGTGATTAGTTCAGAAATTACTTATAAGATCGATGGTATGTTTTCCTCCTCAACAAGACTGCCATTTTTTAATGCTTATAATATCTGATGTGAGAGGACACAATGTACTTTTTTTAGATTAGCTACATAAATAAAAAATACATGAAAAATGAGATTTAATTAAATAATAAGGTTATCATTCTATGTTATCCAAAATTATTTGCAAAAAAAAAAAAAAAAAAAAAAAAAAAAAAAAAAAAAAAATGCTGGAAAAATATATCGAAAGAAACAATTTATTCACTTTATTAGATGTAATCATTACCCCAGTGTTTCTTAATTGTTTCCTCTGAGAGAGGGGATAATAATTACATCTGGTTCCTTCTAAGATTGTTTCATGAAAGACATGATCACTAAATATTTATTCTATACTTTAATTGGTAATGCAAAATCTAATGCTGAAAATATTGAAGTGTATTTCCTTTGCATAATGATGAAAGAATGATGATGAAGATTGTTTCATAAGAATGTTTGAAACTTTGTTCCACTCTTGTCTCATACAACACAGCAGTTGATCTCCTTGCCTTTATGACATGAGAATGGAACACATTGTATGGAGCATTTTTCTCCATGTAAATATTGTACATCTGTGAAGAATATAATAAACTATCATTGTTAAGACGTATCATACTGTAATGTAAAACATTTCATTTTGTAACTTTTAATTTCTGAAATATAGGTCTCTTCAAATGTTATTGTTTTTTATAAAAATAAAAAATATATACACAGTTTTGAAACCATGATTACAGGGTAACCCTCACTAGTGTGGTATATCTAGTTCTTATGTTAAGATAAGCATAGTATTACATGTTTCAGTAGTTATTATTCTCCAGTGTTAGATCCCTCACTGTTGTTGTTGTTCAATGTTAGATCCCTCACTGTTGTTATTGTTCCTCTTCAAGGGGGGCTCCTTGGCGTGGTGAAGAGGCTCTTGGTCTGAGGAATTAGACCTGTCGGTCTTCTTCCTCAGACCGAACCTAATTACCCCCCAATCTCCCCTCCCCTATCCCATCCTCCCCATTTTCCATTCCTCCTCCCCACCCCTCCCTTTTGCCCTTTGGGATTTCTCCCACAGGCACGCTAGTTCCTAGGTAGAAGAAAGGACACCGGGGTCCATCCCATTCCGTTGAGGTTCTTGGCGGTGGCGTAGTTTGCCGTGGAATCTGGATCGCCTGGGGATGTCCCGATCCCTCTCCGGTATCCCGGAGTAGCTTTGGGTGTCTTTCGGGCGTCGGGTGTATCTCTGGAAGCCACCTTTCGGATTCCGGGGGTGGTGGCCGAAGGAGGTATGCTTTGTGGCGGATATCCGGCCGCCCTCTCTTTTGTCCACCGAGGTAGCTCGGCAGATGTGAGGTTGCTATTCCGGATTGCTGGTTTACTGGCATGAAGGGTAGGGTATGGCACGGGTTCCATGCTGCATCTGCGCTACTAGCGGTGCTGAGGTTCTCTTGGGCGCGGAGGGAGATTTCCGCCCCCCCCCCTTTTTTTATTCTTTTTTTACTTTTATTTTCTTTTCTTCTTTGCTTTTTGTTTTTAAGAAAAAAAAAAGAAAGGAGTAACCTAACCATGGAGAACCCAATCCATGAACCCACTACCCCCGGGCCCCTTCTTGATACCGCACCCCATTCTGACCCTGCCTTGTGTTTCGACCACTCTCCAGACACTCCTGATGCCCGTACCTCTTGCTGGTGCTGTTTCCTCACCCGCTTCAGGTACCGGGGCTTCGACTGACTCCTTCGATTTGTCTGAACTCCGCTCTCCTTTGACTATGCTTCCGGCTTCTCCCTCTACGGTACGGCAATTTTCGAATCGGCCCCCGCCCATTTCACGCCGGACAAACTCCGGCCCTATTTTCAAAATCCCAACGTCAATCTCCTGATGTGCTCCTTCATTAAACCTTCCCTTTCTACTCAGAAAAGACCGACCGTCAAGCAATCCCTCTCCACGCTCAGTTCGACCACACAATGGAAACTAAATTCTTTACTTTAAGACCGACTTCTTCTGCCTACCTTTCTGACCATAGTATTGGCAAAGCGCTCCTGCGTCATGTTGGTAGAGATATTTAATTTCATGCTCTCAAGAGCGGTATGCCATGGGTCACTGTCCAGAATGCTACCCAAGCTCATTGATCTTTCTCTCCTTCGAAATCGATACTACTATCACTATTGAAAAACATCTTTCTCTCAATTTTTGTAGTGGTACTGTCATTCTGCCCCATACCATAGTCCAACAGAATTTCCAGTCATGTGGCAATGACATTCTTGAACAGCTGAAACTCCAGGATCTCCCAATCCTCAAAGTAGACACTTATGTCCTTTCCCGCCCGGGGCGGAGACTTTTCCCTTGTAATGTGGCTCGTTTAACTTTTGACAGCCGAGAACTCCCGTCCTCTGTATATGTTTCGGGACATCGGGTTTTCAAGTTCGAAAAGGGGATACCTACACCGCAACAGTGTAGAAATTGCTGGCGTTTTGGTTCACCCAGCGAAATATTGCAGATCTATTGCCGAATTTCCCAGTCTGTGGTGCTGACGACCATTCTAATACATCTTGCAGTCAACCTCCATCTTGCCTTAATTGTAATGAAGCTCACCCTTCGTACTCCCGCCGTTGCCAGGTCTACTTAAATGAACGTGAAATCCGTTGCCTCAAAGAGGCAGGTCTCCCTTATGCTATGGCAGTTACTCATCTCCGCCTCCAAGGGAGACTACCCCGTGTTTCTTATTCTCGTGTTTCCAAACATCCCCCCACTTCTGGGGTCCCATCTTCTGCAGCCTCCTCTGTTGTTACCCCTCCCATAGCCACTCGGCATCTAATCCTTTTGCTGTCCTTGGCTCTGACGTCCTGACTACAACTCAGTCTGTTCTCACATCTTCGCGTCCTTCCTCACAAGCCCCAGTATCGACAAAACCTCGTATGACACCTTATACCAATCGCCCCTCTACTTCTCAGAAGTCCAAAAAATCCACATTGCTCAAATCTTCTTTGCCCCTTTCTTCCCTTCTTCCACCTCCACACTTTACCTTTCCAGTCTCTGTACCTAGTTCTTCCCCTCTCTCTGGCTCTATTACAAGTGTGGAGATTCACCCTCCTCCTCGTACTATGCCTTCCACCCCCGTCCCCTCCCAAGTTTCTCCCTCTTCTGCCACCTCCCAGGTTTCTGCCTCTTCTGTCCCCCCCCCCCACACTTCATCTCCAGTCCCTTACACTCTTCCCTCCCCTCTACTTGGTACAGTCCATTACTGTCCCAATCTTTACTCACCCTCCTCCTCCTATCTCCAATATGGTCTCCCATACATCTTTGAATTCAGAAACACTTGAAGCCATTTCAGAATATATTGCAGAGACTAAACCTTCAATGGACACTGATTCACTTCCTGTTCCTTCTCTTCCTCCTCCATCTTCACAACCCCATTCTTCGCAACGCTCCGTTCCTTCGCTGCTTGAACGTCTTCCAATGCCACCACACGTTGACTTTTCTCACCCCTCTAGTCCGAGGTGCCTTTACCTACAGATTCCTGGTATTTTCTTCGTCGCCAATCATGGCCTATTTACAGTGGAATATCCGCAGCCTCGGGTAATCGGGGTGAGCTTCAGATGTTGCTTTCCAGGTTTTCCCCTGTTGGTGCTTGCTTACAAGAACCAAAATTACACTCGGCTGTTTTCCAACCTATCTCAGGCTATAATTTATTGTATTCTTCGGATCCTTTCTCAGATGGGACCTTTAATGAAAGTGCCCTTCTTCTACGCAATGATATTCCGTACTGTCCACTATTTGTCCATACCTCGTTGCATTACACTGCAGCCCGTATCCACTTGAATAAGTGGTTTACAATATGTTCTTTATATCTCTCTCCTTCTCGAGCATTTTCTATCCCAGACTTTGCCTTTCTTGTTTCATCCTTACCACCACCCCTTCTGTTACTTGGTGATTTTAATGCCCACCATTTCCTCTGGGGGGGTCTCATTGTGACTCACGTGGCATCCAGTTGGAGGCTTTTCTCGCCTCTCACCCCCTCCATGTTTTAAATTCGGGTACTCCCACCCATTTTGATCCTCGTACTCATACTCTCTCTTGCATCGATCTATCAGTCTGCTCTTCCTCCACTGCACTAGACTTCACCTGGTCTGTTCTACCGGACTTACATGACAGCGATCATTTTCCAATCATTCTTACTTCTCTTTCCTATTCACCACCTTTCCGTAGCCTTCGCTGGCAATTTGATCGGGCAAATTGGGATCTTTACTCACACCTCACTGCTTTTAGTGAGGTTCCTTCTTCATCCTCCATTGATGAGCTCCTACACCTCTTCTCGACGTCAGTTTATACCGCAGCTTCTCATTCTATACCCCAAACCTCAGGCAGGCATTGTCAGAAGTGCGTGCCTTGGTGGTCTCCTGCTTGTGCTCATGCAGTACATTTGTAACGCGCTGCACGGGGCAGGTACCGGTACAATAGAACCGCTGAGAAACTTCTTGATTTTAAGCAGAAGCATGCGATCGCTCGCTGTGTCATCCGTGAAGCTAAACGCACTTGTTGGCGAGACTATGTTTCCACCATCACCTCTGCTTCTTCTATGAGTGCAGTCTGGAAAAAAGTGAGGAAATTGAGTGGTAAATACTCAACTGACCCGGCTCCTGTTCTACGGGTCGCTCGTGTTGATGTAGCAAACCCTCTCGATGTTGCCATTGAACTTGGCACACATCTGGTCCGTATTTCCGGGGGCTCCATCTATGCCCCTCGTTTCTTTCCTCAAAGTCTGCAAGAGAGTTAGTACCCCTGGACTTTTCTTCTCTCAGAGAAGAACAGTATAATGTGCCTTTTACACTTCAAGGACTAGAGGCAACGCTCTCAGCTTGCCGATCATCGGCAGCTGGGCCTGACGACATTCATATTCGTATGGTACAAACATTTACATCGGTCAGCCCTTGTAGTCCTCTTACACCTCTTCAATCTTATTTGGGCACAAGGAGTTCTTCCCCAGCTGTGGAAATCTGCCATTGTTCTCCCTTTCCGCAAACCGGGTACTACAGGACATGATGCCTCCCACTATCGTCCCATCGCTCTTACTAGTGCAGTTTGCAAAGTGATGGAACGTCTCGTAAATCGACGTTTAATGTGGTATTTAGAGATACACAACAGTCTACTCCGCTAGTCAATATGGCTTTCGTAAGGGTCGTTCTACCATAGACCCCTTACTATGCTTGATACGTATGTTCGTAACGCCTTTGCGAATAATCACTCAGTTATTGCCATATTTTTTGACCTTGAGAAGGCATATGACAACTTGGAGGTATAATATTTTGGCCCAGGCCCATTCCTTAGGCCTCCGAGGCAATCTACCATCCTTCCTTAAGAACTTTTTAACTGACAGACATTTCCGTGTTCGAGTCAATAATGTTCTTTTCCCGGACTTCGTCCAGCTGAAGGTGTCCCTCAGGGATGTGTTCTAAGCACAACACTTTTTCTCCTTGCTATAATGATTTGGCCTCTGTTCTTCCACCAATATTTGGTCATCACTATGTTGATGACTTCGCTATTGGTTGTGCAGGCGCTGACTGTCATCTCATTGCAGTTTCTCTCCAGCATGTGGTCGACCGTGTTTCCACTTGGGCCACCACGCATGGTTTAAATTTTCAAGTACCAAAACTCACCAAATTACTTTCACTAGACACTCTGTCATCTCCGATCATCCTTTGTATCTCTATGGCTCCCGTATCCCCGAACGT